GAGAGTTAGTTTTAGTAAGTTTTACAGCACTTGCAAAACAATAAGGTCATATAAGTGCCGAAGAATAGAGGTGTTACAAGAGAATAACACACACAAGAAAGGAGGAAAGATAAGGACGATAGATGTTTGATAGGAAAGAAGAAGCAAACCACACCAGAGCACCTGCCAACCACCCACGGAAAGAGAGAGAGAGAGAGAGAGAGAGAGAGAGAGAGAGAGAGAGAGAGAGAGAGAGAGAGAGAGACAGAGAGAGAGAGAGAGAAAAATCGAACGGAAGAGAAGACCTACAGCTGGTGGGCAACCAAAGTCCACTCAACTGCTTGTGATGCTGACAGACAATAAAATTTCTGTTATCACCTCGCCGACTGATAGACCGTGCGTGTCATCGCAAGGTCGGAAAAAGATCCACAATGCGAGAACGCAATCCTTATACCACACTGCGTAATACAACCCACGCAGGACAAAAGTGAGCATCGTGTGAGAGAGATGAGCTACAAAAAGCATCAACATGTACTCGTAGAATAACTCAGGAGGCTGGTTGGTGGGTGCTCTGGTGTGGTTTATTCCTTCTTTCCTGTTAAAGATCAACCGTCCTTTCTCTAGTTTTTTTTTTTCCTTTGTACGTAGCTATCAAGTAACACCCCTTACCTTCAGCACTTACATGACCTTATAGGGTTGCGAGTGCCATTAAACTGATAAAAAACTAAAACACTCGCAGAAAGCATGACCAATACGTAATGAAACTACAACTGACTACAAGTGAAAATGTCGTACCGTAGGCCACCATTACACAATAAAATAATAAATGTTGAAGGGGACGGGTTGCTTTAACCCTGCCTGTTAGGGGCCAACCCGGGCCAAGATCGATGCAACATCATAGCCGAAAAATATTTTTTTGAGATTGGAGATACTTGATTTTAACCCCTCACCCCCCCCCTAAAAAACACAATAACAACACAACAACAAGTCCCTTCAGGAATCGAACTCACGTCTTCTGCTTGTAACAACTGTTTGAAGTGTCTAACCACTACGCCACAGACGCAAGAGGGGGAGGGGGACTCGAGCACTACTGTGACAAGGGCAAACTTGATCTCATGATGAGAACTTCGTCCTGGGTACTGGCGACTGAAGTGGACCTTTTTAGTATAACACTCCAGCC